TTATTTCTATGATCTTCATGTGTCCTCCAAACACACACATCTCATCTCTCCCAAGGTCTTCCCTTCCAATCTCTTCTGATCTTTAGTTTTTCATTCCTAGCTACCATCGCTGAATCTCAGAAGACACCTCAAAATCATCATTATCATCAAGAACAATAATGATCAAATTATCATTCCCCAAAATTGCTCTCTCTCTAGTCTGTATCTCAATCGTTGGTAGCACCATTTTCTCAGCAGAACATTTCAGAAACACTTTCCTCCTCTTCCTCTCTTTACTTGATTACCAGTTTTTCTCAAACTTACCTCTGACTTATTTATTCCAGTTCCCCATCCACATCATAATTTCAATCACCACAGTTTAGGGCGTCTGTGCACCCATTACATACTCCCTCTTAATGGCTCGGCACAAATATGTTCACCAGACTTTCATTCTTTTAAAAATGTCTCTCTATAAGTTGCAGAATGCAATTGGAATATAGAAGACCTCAATGTAGCTATCTCACATATTTGCTTGAGATTGAATACCCTACATACTGACGCCACCACTTGCTCCCCCATTTTACATAACATATTGTTCCCTATTCTGTACAGGTGATAAGCCCTACTCATCCTTCAAAGATTAACTGAAGTATGAAAGATGTTCTACTTTCAAAGCCTTCATGATGTCTGACAAGCAAACTATTTTTATCTCCCTTTGATCTCTAACAACAATTGTGGCAAATTTAGATTATCACCCTTTTCTCATCATACTTTACCCATTTGTTTATAGGTTTATATAAATAATAATAAATGCTATATTTTCTCACTACATGGGCAGCTCCTTACTGATAGAGCCTTGTTTTTTTGTGCATGGTTTTATTTGTTTGTTTGTTTCACTTGAGTTACCTTGGTAAACTGTGGAAAGAGTATCATATTGATTTATTAAGTGAATGAATGAATTACTAGGTATACTCGGCCTGACACATAAAAATATAAAATAAAGGTTTGTTGATTTTAATTAAAATGAGATAGTATGGACAGAACTAATAGCTTCTTATTGTGTATAGAATTTTGTGTCCCAGGTGCCGGTTACTACTTATTTTTCAATGTGTATTTTAAAACTAGTAGTAAGTAGGGGCACCTGGGTGGCTCAGATGGTTGGGCGTCTGCCTTCGGCTCAGGTCATGATCCCACGGTCCTGGGATCGAGCTCCACATCGGGCTCCCTGCTCGGCGGGAAGCCTGCTTCTCCCTCTCCCTCTCCTCCTGCTTGTGTTCCCTCTCTCACTGTGTATCTCTCTGTCAAATAAGTAAATAAAATCTTTAAAACTAGTAGTAAATTATAAATTTGTATTTTGTAATAAATAATTTATTATACCTAGGAAATCTGACCTATTTCTCAGAATTACATTTTACAAAGTATTTACAAAATAATCAGTATATGTTAAGCACTTATTGATTTGAAGACATCTCCTCAATCTTGGCAGGAATATTTACCTTGTGCATTTTTACACACCATAGTTCTTCAACTCAAAAACTGTATTCAAGCAAAGCCTAACTTTAAAATCCCATATTATTAGGTAAAACAAACAAATTCCAAGCAGGTACAGAGCTCTAATACTTAACTGTTCTTCCCACAGCCCATATTCCTCCCCCATTCACTGGCTTCCCCAAAGGATCTTCAAAAAAGACCACTCTTAAAACAGGATGAATAAAGTTAGCTGTTCTGTTCTGAGGTACCATCTTCTGTAACAGATGTTCAGTGATTTCAAGAACAAGGAGTTGGGATGGGAGCAGTGGGCATTTTAAGTGGATTAACTGATTTGGTCATCAGTTAAGTGTGCACCCCTACTATTTTTTTTATGCGAAGTCTTTCTCTGTGCTGTTATATTCCCTCTTGTGCCAAGCAGCTGTCTAAAGCCTCCAATTAGAATCCATGTTAATCTAGTTTGTTTATGAGAAGATAAGTTGGTATGCCGACATCCATAAATGCATTTGAACATGTCCTGGAAAATTTTATTTTAATTATTTCAAAAATGTTGCCACTTGTTTTTATTTGTGACCTTGATTTTATCTCAGATGTGTGCAGATTCTATGAGAATGTGACAAACAGGTGGGATAACTTGTGCATTATCAAATAGGATATAGGAATATTAAAAATATTAAGGGAAAAATAAAAAGTAATCTATTACATTTCCCTACAGCTCTGGGAAAGAGAGAATATTCAAAAAGTCTTTTAAGATATAGATTTTTATTTTATGGGCTAATCTTGCTATGCTTCATGATGTTTCTTCCTTTTTTTTTTTTTCTTTATATAGATTTCAGGATTCTCTTCATTCATTTTTTTGAACACATAGTGTTTACTAGGATCTAGGTACTGTTCTGATTTCTAGAGATAGGAAGTGGACAAACAAAAATCTCCAGCTGCATGGAGTTTATATTTAGCAGTGATAACAGATAATAAGATAAATAAGAAAAACATAGTTTTTTATAGCTACTTATAAATTGATATTAATATAGTCATAAAGTTTTCCCTCTATTTTCTATCTTTAATTTAAAATTTTTAATATGCTTTCAGTGAATTTTTCTTAATTTTCCAAACACTGTAGGCTTTCCTGAATGTTCTTTACTTTTAACTGTGATTCTTCAGCCACTGCAACCTATCTTTCTCTAACAATCTCTCTCTCTAAATGATTTGTGTTCCACTGGCAGCTCGGTGTCAAAGAAAGTGACATATCCTGATGAAGCCATTAAGCACAGTACTACAGACATTAAGGGGATGATACAGGCATGATTTCAATCATGCAAAAGGAAACTACCCTAGTTCTAAGAAGGAAAAGCACCAAAAGAGCTTAACCCACTCCAGTCTACATTTTCATTTCATTAGATTGAAATCTGGGAATGTCAGAACAAATTAACACTTTCTCCCCACAAGGCAATCACTGTAAGTATCATCATCAGATGCATGTTGAGCACCCGCAGGGAGAAGGGTTGGGCCTTGGAATATGCAGCACACTGAAAAGAACCAAAGTACAAACTGAGGAGAAATGAGTTGATAATATGGAAATTTTGCTAAAAGAAAGTTGAACTTTTCACTCTGTGCTGTCATGAAGATTTTCTTTAAAAATATCTGTTACCTAAAATTCATGATATTTTTCCAAGCTCTGTTATAACCCCAAATTATATGTAAGTATCCGTTTAATTATCCCCACACTTAAACCATTCCAATATTCAATTTTCTTTGAAATATAGTTGTAACTTGCTTTATGAAATAAATCCTTAAATGGAATACGTAAATTATGTATTTTTGATAAACCAAGTTTTACATTAAGAATAGTAAGAGTCAAAGGTCTAAGAGACAATGTGCTTGCCAAATTCAAAATTAGAGTAATTGTGTTTTATTTTGATTTTATTATTGGGATGAATTCAAAATAATAGAATGTTCAAGGCACTTCACGTATATCGCCAGCTTTGTTAGAGTTTGAATTCTTTTAATTGAAATACTTCTAGATTATATTGTATGTGGTATATGTACCATTTGGTAATATGATATCAAAGTAATTTATGTAAAGCATATTATACCTTGGTAACGACTAATAAATCCCATCTAACAAATGAGAGATATTTGCCCTTCAGGAGGGCCAGTCCAACATGAAAAAAAACTTTTCAAATTGCTTTAATTCTTTTTGCAAATATTTACTAATATTTTACACTTAAACCTATGTTGTCTTTCAAAATGACAAATTCTGGATAATGGAGTGCATAACTATAAGCATAAAACAAAAATAAGCATTTGAAATTAAAATTATCCCCCAAAATAAAATGGACTTATATTTTTAATGGTAATTTAAGCTAGTTGAACACTAAGGCACAGATTTTCACTACAAATCTCCTATCTTCTCTGAAAAATACTGAATATATTTCAACTTTTTATTGGGACCCTAGGTTCCCATTAATACCAATTATTTAATTGAGTATATTAAAATGCAGACCCCAGGGCCTATGGAACTATGAAGAACTATTTGCCTCTACATAAAATCACACCAAATTGTTCAGCTTTAAAGATGTGAGGGCCTGCTTTTCTTATTTTCCCATCTCTTCTTCCCATCATATTGAAAACTTAGTTTTCATTGCCATTTCTGCAGCTAATAAAAGCATCTCCTCTCTTTGTAGTTATTAGTCTAAATTAATGTGATCTTGAACAGCAAAATCAATCTTCGTAGAATTAAGTATAAACTAAGAATATATAGACCTTGAGTGAGGATCCTATAGTCTTCTCCTTAACATATGTATATAGATAATGAACTTGCTTTGAACCAGTACTTTTGTGTGTGTACATAAGTGTGATATAGTACTAATTTGATTTCTCTTAATAAAAAAAAAAAAGAGAGGTCATTGTTTGGAAACATGGGAACTAAAACACATAAATTATAATTAAAAATCTATCAGAATTTAAAGTGGCACTAAGGTCTGGTAACTGGTTGATGTGTTAAACTTGTTTTCATATTTACTATTTTGAAATTATTATTTTGGTTTTTGATAGCTTTTTTTTAATATGGATGCAATAATTTTACATGTGCTTAACATGCAATTAAGTGATTTTTTTTTTAGATGAGGGGATCAATATAAGGAATGGGCTCTTTCACAAATGAATTTAAATGCTAATTGGAGAACAGGGAACCACAAAAGTGAAAAACTGAATAAAAACACAGGATAACACCATGAGGATTTGGTGTTTTAAATTTTAAGTGTGGGAATTTTCTATTCAAAATATAATCTGTGGCCTAGCAGAATCTGTTTCACCTGGCAACTTGTTAGATATGCACACCTGTAGGCATGATTCTACATCTACTATCAGAGTTTGCATTTTTTATAAGGTCCATGTGCACTTTGTATGTACATTAGTGTTTGAGAAATGTTTTCACAATAGATCATTATAGATTTATTATGATTATGAATATTTTCCAAATGCATGGAAGATGCCATACTAGCCATAATAGAAATACATGAAAGGGTACTCACCATAAGAGGCTATGAATCTCAAAATCCACATGGGGTAACTCGATAACCAGGCAAAGGAAACACACCTTGGGAAACTGTTGGGAGATAGGAAAGGCTGAATGGTTTCTCAAATAATCTCCTAGTGGTAAATTCTCAATATTCTACTAAGTCTAAACTCTTTTCTTTGAGGATAGAATCCTTATTAAAATTAAATGTACTCTAATTAAATCCCACTCCATCACTTTAAATCCTATGGGTCTTTCAACCCTCCTATTTATGGCCTCTCTCCTCTTTGAGATCTTCTTCAGTCTTCTCAGTTGGAAGGGATTCCCACTCCTTTAGAAGTGCTGAAGCAAAATCCTATCTGGACCACTTCTGTGATACTGATTTACTTGACCACTTTGCTAGGTGGGACTGTTTTCATGTGTGTAACTGACTAAATATGCTTATATGTATCTAATCTTACAGCATACACCACCAGACTGTAAGATTCTTCATGGGATAGCCATATCATTCTTTGTAACTCTGGGGGTATATAGCACAGTGTTTACCCCATAAAGGCTTGAATGAAAGCTGACCAGAACATGTAATAAAGGACAGCTTGAGAGATGCATACCTGGAACTGGGAGGCTACAGTGAAGAAGATGGGTTTCAACAGTTCTCTGTTTTGTCCAGGCGTGCTTAAGAGCATTAATTTGAGACAGAATGAGAGAGAGAGAGAGAGCACATGAGAGGGGGGAGGGTCAGAGGGAGAAGCAGGCTCCCTGCTGAGCAGGGAGCCCGATGAGGGACTCGATCCAGGGACTCCAGGATCATTACCTGAGCCGAAGGCAGTCGCTTAACCAACTGAGCCACCCAGGCGCCCCTCTTAAGAGTATTAATAATCCTACTCTTCATAGAGTTCTTTGAGGGAGCCTACAAGAATGCTGTGAAGGGATAGCATAGCTGTTGATTTACTTGGCAAATGTGGAAGCATTGAGGGCTAAATGTAAAATTTTTTACCCCTGTTATTGATGTTTTCTTCTTATCTATCCCCAACTGAACTCTTACCTGCTATCCTGAACAATCCGTATGCTTTGGCATCAATCTTTTGCATTCATTATTATTTCCGAAAGTAGCATCCTTTTTAAAATCAAATTGAGAAAAGTCAGGTGGACTCCTGGGCAATATGCCTTGAATCCAAGTAAATGTTACGCTTTTCTAAAGGGAGAGTAGTCAGGTAGACTCTGAGTTAGATAGCCCAGCTTAAGGGTATGTGCAGGTGGGGAGAGAGCAAGAGTAAGGAGCATGAAGTCTATCCTTTCTGGTGGCAAGACCTCATTCAGTTAACCCCTTCCATTAGGTGGGAGTAAGCAAGTGTGCAAGAGTACTAATGTCATCATCTAGAAATAAAACTTGAGTATGCCTTAAAATTTTACACTAAATCTAGCTGGATTTTCATTATTCACATCTATGTGCACTGCAAAGTGGTGAAATTTTTAACTTAACAAACTATGTGATATCAGGAGTCAGATTCTGATTTTAGACACATTTTAGGTTGGACAAATCTCTGTCTTCTACTTAAGCCAGCCCTTAAGAATGCATGAGTATCACCTGGGGAGTGTATAGAAATCTAAACTCCTTGGTCCCAAAACTTAGTCACTCTAATTTTTTAAGTCTAAAACAGGGTCTGACTTGAACTTTTAATGGGAACCCCTTGTTATTCTGATGTGAAGAATGACTACCTACTAACCTTAAAAAAGAGCAATGTCAAAAAATATGATTTTAGTTGTCAGCCAATTTTTTAGAAATCAGATTGGTTGCTTTTTAAATATTCCTTTTCCTCCCTACAATGTTCATTTCTCCCTTACTCCTGAAGTAAGCATCAAAGAAGGTAAAATGCTTATGCACATAGTCTGTTGTTGTATATTCAGAAACAATCTTTTGGAGAGGGTATCCCTATGTTCCAGTTGGCCAACATAGTCCAAGTTTATGCCAGCAATGCATTTTTTTATCATTCGCAAAGGATCCAAGTTTGAATAATGAGTTACATGCCATAATCCTATATTAACAACTAAACTGAGGGATGTGGAGAAATGTATATGTATCTAAATAATTCTATTTTCTGCTTTTCAAAGTGTTTCTTAAGTAAAGAGCATAAATGTCATTCAAAAAGTGTTTTTCCAAAATGAAGTGACTACATAACTTTTAAAAGGGTTATGGTCTCCAAAATGTATCCTTAATAACAAATTTTCCACTCTTACTGGGGGGTGGAGAGTGTATTAGGAAAACGAATGTCAACAACTAGGATAAAAATCTAATGTCAATAAAATGTCAAAACATAAATCTAAAAATAATTTAATTTAAAATAAATGAAACCATCATTTATATAATTCTATTAGGTTTTTCTGCCAGACCTTAATTCAAAATGTGTAAATTATTAACCATATTACATTGTATTCAGTTCTTCATTTTTCACTAATAGGTGGCTGCCTAAATTTCTACAGTTGCTATAATTTTTCTTATGAATTTATAGAATTTTAATATTAGATTACATGAAAAAATACTTACTGGTTATTTTTTTTTTAACCTTACAATTTTACTCACCCTGTTCAACCACTAAAACTCAATTTATTAAGGGTGTATAAGCAGCAAGAAGAAGCAGGAACTATGCTGCAGCTGCTATAAATCCAGATTCCTGAAAATTGAAAATCTCTTGCAGGATCTTCAGTTTCCACACCTCAAAATGAACAGGGAAACAGATTTACACTACAAATGTGCACCCCTTCTTCTTGGAAATTCAGGGCATTGTGAAACTGTGGGTGATTCTAATTTTACTTAAGAATTCCTAACAAGCCCTGTTTCTGTCTGTCTGTCTACCTGCCTGCCTGAATACTTATTTATTTGTCAATCCACCAACCCAAATTCACTTTCCAAGGGTAAGTGAATATATCTACATTCTGTGAAACAAGCTCTTCTGCCTTGGTTCCCCCCAAGTGAGCTGACTTCACTCCTCCATCCCTTAGCATGACATCTTAATCAAATGTCTGAATCTGACCACTCCTCCACTTCTGGGAAACAAGACAGAGCACCACATTCACTCAAATGCAACCAGACATGCTAGAAACACTGTTTGCAGAGACCTGATACCTAAATATAATCCTGTGGTGGGAGCTAGCACTGAGAGTCAACTTTCCAAATCTAGTGTGTGTGGCTGTGGTTTCAGAAAGAGAGTTGAGTGACACCAACCACAGCAGCTTCAATGGAATGGATAGCAAAACAAGGTGAGCTCTGCTGAAAAGATTTTTCTGGAACAGGAAATAAGTTTAGAGGATAGAAAGAGCTCATTCATTCATTCTCCATCTCTAGCACCTCAGTCCCAGTCAGTTCCAACATCAGAGAATCAGAGTTCATCTAAGCCCATCTTCCATCATCCTACTTTCAAACTCCCCATCCACCTCCTCTTCCTGCATACAGAGATTACATCCTAACTAGATTCAGTCTCAAATTATACTTAAGGATCTCTGGACTCATCCTACTTAGGGGATGGTGAAACTTACTTGACTTGTATACATCACAAGGGCCACACTTAATTCCATAAGGACCAGTGCAGTTACCACCTTCAAGCTTGGATTTTAGCTCAACCCACTGATTGCCTGGATTAAAATGACCAATCCACCTCCTTGCATTGAAGCTTAACTTTGATGCTGAGTGTTCGTATCACAAAGATTAAATATACTTGTGTAAAATCCAGATTTTGTAAAAACCTATACAGCCATCTCTGTGGGTAATTTTAAGTATATTAGACTGGACATTCCAGTTTCCACCAAATGTTGTTTCAAAGAACAAAACAGGATTCTGTTCAGACTCATCTGATCAAATCTCCAGGCAAGTATAGAAGGAAAATTAAAGGCTATAAAAGGATTTCTCAAGCAGGCATGAGAAATAGGCAGATTGAGCTATTTAAAACCTCTCTCACAGTTTAAGATCATTAGTTTTCTTGACATGTTAAGTGTCCAATGTAAAGACCCAATGCTCAACCAAATACCACAAAAAACAATCAAAACAAAAATCAAAACTGGGAGGGAAGGGAGAAAAGGTCACAACATTCTTAAGTCAAAGTTTTCTAATATTTTAGCTAAAACTTATTTGAATCTTAAGAATGAAGAATGTTTCAAACTTACAGTTCATGAAAAATTTCTAGTTGGCACTGAAAAGAATTTTCAGGGAAATCTGAATTGTGCAACTGATTGTCCTACACAGGCTACGTTATTTTGATAATGATGTTCATGAGGAACTCTTTAAGAGATAATCTGTGTGCTTATATAAATAGATCTGGGCTAGCATTTAATTTGTGCTAGATCTCAAAACTATGATCTTTTATATCATATGCAAACTTGAAATCTACTTCTGAAGGAGTCCTTCTACAATTTTATTTATTTTTATTTTTTTAAAGATTATTTATTTATTTATTTATTTGAGAGAGAGAGACTGAGAGAGAGAGAGCATGAAAGGGGGGAGGGTTGGAGGGAGAAGTAGACTCCCTGCCGAGCAGGGAGCCTGATGCGGGACTCCATCCAGGGACTCCAGGATCATGACCTGAGCCGAAGGCAGTCACTTAACCAACTGAGCCACCCAGGTGCCCGTCTTCTGCAATTTTAAATAGGATATATTCATAAGCAGAATTTAGAGCAAGTGAGTATTTATCTAGAAAGCTTACCTTCATAGGAGGTAAGCTGCACTGAAACTTTACAACAAATTGTGGAAGCAGAGTGAGAAAAGAGATAAACAAAAGGGCATTAATGTATGTGTAACATGATTTGCACTTCATAAAGCTAGTAAGAAAAATATCATTAGTCAATTGCTCTGACACTCATGAGTTTATAACTGAAGTATTGTTTATACTTGCAGATATTAAATAGAATATATGTGCATGTGTACATAAAATTTTCTGTCTATACTTGGCAAATATTCTTAATTACACGAAGATGGTTGTAGAACCAGGAAGGGCTTATAAGTGAGAACTGAAATCTTAAGGTTGATTCCCCAGTTTATTTTTCAAGTTGCATATTCAATTTTATGTTGCACCTCTGGGTCTATACGGTATGAAACATTT